AGAGGAGAGGAGAGGAGAGGAGAGGAGAGGAGGGAAAAGGTGAAAAAAGAGAAAAGAGAAAAGCAAAGAGAAAAGCAAAGAGAAAAGAGAAAAAAGAAAATTAATCTCTGTCTGGTAGTAAAATACTTAGAGCGTAGCGAAACAGAAGGTTTGTGCAATATGTGGTATCTAGCAAGCTGAGAGAGATGGTTCAAAGTCTGTTTAAAAACTGCAATTTTGGAAGAAATCTTGTCATTAGCTTTACAGAAGGGAGAATGTTGTTATGGAGAAGGCAAAGTGGATTTTCTACATTATCATCAACGTGCCGCTATTCCAGCATTGGCATGGATGTGATGCGGTAACTGAGTCTCTCCCTGCAGAGACCCTAAGTCACTGACAGGAGATGGAAAGGGAAGAATGTGTTCATGTCACTCACAGAGACTGAAGGTTATTTCGCTGCATTGAGAAAAGCCTGGCATAAGCATAGATTGATGGAATAGAATCACAGAATGTGTTGAGTTGGAGGTGACCTTTAGAAGACCACCTAGTCCAACCCTCCAGCAGTGAGTGGGGACCTCTTCAACTAGATCAGGTTGCTCAGAGCCCCATCAAGCCTGGTGTTAGCCAGACACTTGCTGTGGCCCTTAATGTCTGGTTTAAGATAGAGCTAAGCAAAACCTGTACTGTAAGACCATATCAAAGAGAAATTTTCCTGCTCAGTTCCCTGTTAAAACGCATGGTCACAGAGAGAGGTATCTTAGAAGGAAACTTAGCTTGCAATGAAGAGTTTGGTATTCATCAGGAAGGAGGATGAGAGGGGTAGTTACTCTGAACAGGAACGGCAAAAAGAAATGTGGTAGGATGAAAGCATGGTACAGGCTTTAAGCAAGTGTTGCATTAGATTACAGTGTCATATCTAAGGGTTGTCGAAAAGAGGAGGGCGAAAACAAAGGTCTGAATTAGTTTTTTGAATTACTCTTGTCCTCAATAGCATACTGAATCACATCTCCCTATTCTCTACCTTAATTTTCCCTGACTGGTGAAAGAAAGATAATTTTAACTTGGGTTCTTGTATCTACTGCTGGTAAGAAAGGAAGATGTCTGAGAACTAACTATTTCTGCAAAACAGAAAATTTACAGAATCTTAAAACAGAATGTCCAAAGATTGTTAGAGCTGACCTCAGCTGCACATGAGGTGGACACAGTAAGATATTTTGTCATCTTTTTTTACCTGAAATTAAATGGCAATTTATTTTTAGCAATCTCCCTGTACTTGGCATCAGTTTACATTTTAGGGTTCATTTCTTGTTTGTAATTAGTTTGAGGGATGCAGTAGCTGTGTGGTTGGGCTTCTCGAAAAATAAAAGAAAGGACAAAATCATTATTTCTTAATTGCTCTAAACAGCCACTGTGGGACAGGGCTTCATACATAAGCATCTTGCCTTCAGTATTTTTCCAGAATGTGTTTCTGTATCTATGCCTCATCCAAAGAGAAAATGGGAATTCCTTGTTTTTAAGGGTGGAGGGACTGGTGAGCCTGCCCGTCACCAGGGCAGGAGGGAGCAAGGCAGCCGTAGGAAGGCAGATACCTTCCTACCAATCATCTTTAGCTGGTTTTTTAGAATTTTTCTTTCTGTTTTTCTCATAGTTGGCCACACGATGGAGATGTTTTA